GCTTCGCTCTCCATGGCGGGAACTCGGCACCCACCCGGGTCGCCTCCGCTGCTGCTGCCGGATCCGCCGCTTCCTGCAGCCTCCCCTCCTCCGGCTCCGGACGCGACAGCCGAGCCGCCGGGTAAGGGGATCCGGGAACCTGAGCCGCCCAGGAAGGTGACACCGCAGTGCGGAGAGGGGCGCGGGCCCCAGGTGTCCAGGCCCTGCCAGGCCAGCTGCGCCCTCCCCAGGGACGCCTGGAGTCTGTTGGGGCCTGCGCTGTGGACCTAAGAATAACAAGGATCACAAATAAGCGCTGGCCCCTGTGGTGCCCCAGGCTAGGTGATCATTTAATGTTTACAACAACCTGAAGATGGGGCGGGAAGGTTAGACTGCTATAGTGAGTCCCAGTTCCTCCACTGCCCACAACCCTCTATGGCTCCCACTTTCCTCAAAGGAAAAATCCACGTCCTCCTTGCAGCCCACAGGGCCCTGCATGACCAGCCACCTCCCCTCCCCCTCTGTCCCTCTCTCCCTCTACTCCAGCCACATGGGCCTCCTGGCTGCTCCTTAGCACCTGGCTTCCTGCTGCCCCAGGACCTTTGCACAGCTATGCCCTCTGCCAGGGCCACCTTTTCTTAGAGCTCTGCATGATCTGTTCTCTCAGTTCTTAGGTCTTTGCCCAAAGGCCACCTGCTCTCTCACTTGCCAATGTCTCCTCCTCAACTTCAGTTTTCACCCTGTCACCATGAGGTGTGTTGGGTGTTTCACCTCTTCACTTTGTGCCCTGCCCATGTCCCTGGCTACAAGATCAGCTCCAAGACGGCAAGGATTGGTATCCTTTCTTCTAGGACTGTACTGTTGTGCGCTGCGCACAGTAGGTGCTCACATTGTTTGGGGAGGAAATGCATGGATCTGTAGGCCACAGAAATTAACTCAGGGCACCAGGACCCTGTGAAAATCCCCTGGGCATGCAGCACTGGAAACACCTGGGGCCTCCATTAAAATTCCTAGACAGGATCTGGGCATAGTGGCACGTGTCTGTCATCCTAGCCCTCGGGAGGCTGAGGCAGGAGGATCACCATGAGTTCAAGGCCAGCCTGGGCTACATAGTGAGTTCAAGGCCAGCTTGGACTACATAGAGGGACCCTGTCTCAAACAAAAACAAACAAAAAAAATCCTAGACAGGGATTACGGCTCAAAAAATAGTGCTTCTCTCTGGTGAGGTTTAAAAACCTACCAAAGTGACACTTGCTAAAATGTAGACAGACCTTGGGGAGGGACACTGTTCAGTGAGAGACGCCAGACATGGAAGACACACAGCGTGGGCTCCATGGACAGGAAACTCCCTGGACAGGCGAAGCCAGAGACAGGAAGTAGCCTCGTGGATGCCAAGGCTGGGGAGGGGACCAGTGGCTGCTTGTGGGGACCGGGTTTCTTTTGCAGTGAGGAGAAAATGCTAGAATTGTCTAATAGTGACAGCTACACAACAGTAAATGTACTGAGCGTCTGAGTCCTGCATTTCTACAGGGCTGAGAAGTTTATGTTCTGTGGAAGTCTTTCTGCCAGGAAGAGGTTTCTAATCCCAGTCAGGAAAAGCGGCCGAAGGGTAAACTGTGGCCAAGTCCCTCCCTGTCCGCCTCAGGCCCCTGTGTGGCTGAGCCCCGTGCCGTCCTCAGGAGGAGGAGGAGACGGATGTTCCTGCCTCGCTGTGAATCTGGCCAAGAGCGGGCCTCAGTTTTCCCATCTCTGTTTGTTTTTTTTTTTTTTTTTTTGGTTTTTCTCCGGTACCGGGAACTGAACTCACGACCTTGCGCTTGCCAGGCAGGCGCTTTTGCCGCTGAGCTAAATCCCCAGCCCCAGTTTTCCCATCTCTGATGTAAGAAGGCAGACCTGGGATCCAGGCAGAGCTGGGATGGGCGTCGCGGGGCCAACCTCTGGCTGGTCCACACCAACAAACCACACGCACAAGCTCAAAATACAAATTCTACGAGTTTTTATTTAAAAAGTCTGGATCGAGCAGTGGGAAGGATCTGTCTCCATGAGAGCCGCTCAGCTGGGCCAGGGGACGCTCAGCGCCCCCCAGGCCCTGCTGAGACCGTGAGCTGCCACCAAGGGTCTTCCCATTGTGTGGCCACCATGCAGCCTTTGAGGCAAGCTGTTCTGGGGGTGCGGGGGGCCCCAGGCAGCCCTCCCATGGGACATGTGCTGTGGGTCCTGTGGCTGCCTCAGGGCCTGGGGTCCCTCCGGGCCTTGCGACCCTGGGCTTAACTTGCTCTCCAGTGACCAGCGCTTTCCCTGGGGCTGGGAAGGCGGGAAGCTGAAGGGGTACGGTGGAGATTTAGTTTTAGGGGGGCTGTAGCCCCCAAGGTGCAGGATGGGGCCTGGCCCCAAAGAGTGGACCCCCAGCCTCTCCTCCGGCGGCCGGGCGTGGGGAGGGCCGAGCGCAGCGCTGCTCCTCGGATCCGTGGGCACCGGCCCTACAGATGCTCGCTGTAACAGAGGAAGGCAGGCCACTGGTCCCCAGCATCCTCTGCCCAGTCTCAGCCTGGGACCCTGGAGGCCAAGCTCCACCTAGCAGATCCCAGGACCCGGCCTCAGTGGTGCCCCTGACCAGGGCAGCTGGAGTCCACCCTGGGAAGCTTCAGGGAAGTTTTGGTCTCTAGAGGGTCTGGTCAAAGGAATCTGGGGGGTCCCCCCCCCGCCCCTCCATTATGCTCCCCCAGGTCCTGTGGCCGGGGAACCCCACGGGCCGGCTCCATCTGGCCCCTTCAGTCCGGCTCAGACGGCCTTGGGCGGGGCACTGCCGCACGCACCTGGCGACCTGGGCCAGGATCTCCTTGATGCGCACGATGAGGCTCTCGTGCCTCGCGGGGTCACGCTCGATGGCGCCATGCAGCCGGGCCATGTAGAAGTCCAGGGTGCTGAGGGTCGGGGTCTCTCCGGTGCCTGTGGGAGACCACAGGGGAGGGTGTCAGCGGGCAGAGGGGGGCGTCCCAGGGTCGGAAGTCCGGTCCACGCCGGCAGGCAGGAGGTTGCGGGGCCTCTAGGGCTGGGCCAGAATCCGGGACAAGCAGGGGCGGGGCGCAGGGTGGGGACTCCGGAAAGAGCACGGGGGCGGGGGTTGCGGGATCAGAGGGCAGCCGAGGGAGGACCCCTGAGGTCATCTGGGGAAGAGGGGGTCAGCAGATGGGCTGGTGGGAGACAGAGGTGGTGATGCAGCTCTGGGCTGTCAGGAGAGGGGAGATCAGGTAGGTGGGGACCCGGGGGGCGGGCCCTAGGCGGGAGCAGGGTGGGCCTTGGATGCAAAGAGAGGGGCACGGAGAGCACAGTGGAGCTCTCAAAGTGACTGGAAGGCGCCGCCAGCATGGGCCAAATTGGAAGGTGGGCGGGGCTTTGAGGCGCGGGGGCGGGGCTAGGCAGGGAGGGGCTGGGACTTGAGTGGCCGGAGAGGCGGGGCTCAACCAGGGGTGGGGCTTAAGGAGCCCCGCTGGAGGAGGCAGGGCAAGGGCTGGGCGGAACTGGCTAGGGGCGTGGCTCAAGGAGGGCACCACAGAGCTGGAGGGGAAGGGCTCGGGCAGGGAGGAGGCGGGGTTCGCTCGGGGGCGGGGCTGGACTGAGTTAGGGAGGGCCGAGCTGGGGGGCGGGGCCGGCAGCGGGGCTCACCCGGCACCGGTAGGGAGGCGAAGCTGGCGGTAAGAGCCTGGCGCACGGCCTGGAGCTGCTGCTGCAGGGCCAGCGTCCGCCGCTCCTCCAGCGCCAGCTCCTGCTCCAGGCGCTCGCGCGCGCTGCTCATGCTCTGCGTGTGCCGCTGCAGCACGGCGTTCTGCTCCTCGAAAGCCACGTTCATCTTCCGCAGGCGTCGCAGCTCCGCCTCCCGCGCTGCGGGCGGGAGAAGCCGAGTGAGAGTCCCGCGCACCCCTCGTGCGCGTCCGGCCCTGCGTCCCCCAGCCCTCCGCTCCCGACCCCCAGGTTAAGGCAGGCACCTGGGCTTTGGAGCTGAGCCCTCCCCCCACCTTCGTCCCTGAAATCGCCTCACCTTTGTTTTGGTCCAGAAACTCTTCGGTGAAGATGGGGACGTCGAAGGTTGAGAAGCCATCGCAGTCCGCACCCTGGGACAGCGGGACCAGGTGGCAGCGTCTTCAGGGGACAGCCAAAGCCCTGGAGGCCCCCAAGCCCGGGAGGGGGGGCTCGGAAGTGGGCGAGGGATGCCCACTTCCGCCCCATGGCTGGTCCCCACTCCTGAGGGGTCTAGACACCTCCAGCCGCCCCCGGCTCTTTCTGTACCTTGTGTCCGTTCAGGAGCGTGTTCATGAGCCCCGAGCCCGAGTCCTCTGGGGGCAGGAGGGGAGACACAGTTAGCCTTCCAGGTCCCAGGACTGCCCGCTGCGCCCCCTCCTGTGCTGGTCACCCTGGCCTTCCGGTGGCTCCGGGACTCCTGCTGGGCTCTGTGCCCGCCCTGCCCGGCGGCGGGGAGGGGCTGCTCTGCGGTGAGAGCCCCGCCGCTGGGCTCCGACCCGCCTACCTTTTTTGATCTTCTTCTCCTGGATCTTCTCGGTGCACATCTTATAGGCCTCAGACTGCTGGTAGGCCCGCAGCTCCTTCATATACTGCTGCTTCTCCCGCTCCGCTTCGTCCAGGTACCGCTATAGGGGGTGCAGAGCAGCGCCCAGAGATCAGCCGCGCTCAGAAGGGAAGTCCCTAAGACCAGGACCCCGCCTCCATCACCCAACTCTGCCTGTGCCCTCGGTGCTGAACCTTCCATAGCTCCCTGCGCGCTCAGCTGCGGCCATCTCACCTCCCACAACCTTGCCTTCCCCAGCCCTGCAAACCCTCCCAATGTCTCTCCACCTGACCACACCCCTCTGCCTTGCTGATCTTGCTGACACTTGGCCTGCCCTTGTGCACCATTTCTACCCATGGAAATCCCACTCGCAGCAGGCACAAACCCATGGGGGTCTGTTTATATTTCCTTAATGTTTTGGTACTTCTTTATTTCCGGTGCTGCGGATTGAACTCATGGAATTTGCACTGAGCTACACCCCCAGACTTATTAAAAAAAATTTTCTCCCGGGAGTGGTGTGGTCTCAGCACTGGGGAGGCTGAGGCAGGAGGATTGCTGTTCGAGGCCAGCCTAGGCTGCATAGTGAGTTCCAGGTCAGCAGTCTGAACGACATAACGAGACTGTCTCAAAAAACCAAAATAACATAAGAAATAAATAAAAAAGTTTTCACCTTTGAAGCCAAGTGTCATGGTACATGCCTGTAATCCCAGCACACAGGAAGCTGAGGCAGAAGGATCACCATGAGTTTGAGAGCTACACATTGAGTTCAAGGCCAACCTGAACTACAATGAGACTTTGTCTCAATATATGTGTGTGTGTGTGTGTGTGTGTGTGTGTGTGT